CACAAACTGAGATTTTTTTCTGGCACAGAGGAGCACTGAAGGAGAGTTGGAAAGGATATGCAAAACAACTATACATTTAAAGCTTGAAGGCAAACAGACTTGGACTGTGGTATGGGCAGTGCCATCATATATTAACTATGTTGCTTTAAGCAAGGTCACCAACTACAGAAAGCCTCAGTTTCTTCTTCTGTGCAATGGGAATAATAAAATCTACTTCATGGTAGCACCAAGAGATAATGGGGGAGTCCTGTCTCCAATATAATTTTTTATTAGCAAACTCCATTCTTTGATATAGATGATTGATATTTCCTCAATCTTATGTAAAAATGCCTATGCAAATGAGCTTCATCATGAGCCATTCCACAACCCCTTGCCAATCAGACACCACCCCTAAGCCATTCCTATGTAGCAATATTGGAGCAGCCACTGTTGGGATGCTTAAATGAGGTAATCACTTTAAAGCACTTAGCAAAGAACCGGGCACATGGTAAGTACTCATTAAATGGTGGTAATCGTAACAATTGTTTTAGGATAAAATTCACTATCTGATTTCCTCAAACTGACAAACATAGGCAAATACCATTTAGTGTCAGGGTGAGGAAGTTGGATCTTTCCAGTTTTTTTTTTAAATGTATATCCTTTACTTTATCCTTTAGTGTATCCTGCACCTTAAACATTAAAAAAAATATTAACTGTGATTTAAAAGCAAAATTTGCAGCAATCTATCTCAAAAAAGTGGAACTGGCAAGAAGAGACTTACAAAAGTTAAGACACACACCTAACCTGTAAGGCTTTATTTCTTATGCTATATCATATCATTTGACTACTGGAAAAAAAAGACTAGATTACCATAACCCATCTTGGTGTGCTTTTCCAATAAAATTAGAAGGACTTCAATTTCTAAGTCTCTTTTGAAAAAGCAGTATTAATACAATGCAAATCAAAATGTCTAATTAATACAATTAACAGGAATCTAAGGCAATTTAGTTATGNCCATACTTAACAATGATCCTGAAGTTCTTGGTGCATTTAGCCATATCACCATGAACTAGGTTCGAGTCCAGAGTGTGATGGATGGTTGTGTTGGTTGCACAGCAATATGGATGTACTTAATACCTCTAAACTATACACTTAATAATGATTAAGATGGTAAATTTTATGTTATGAATATTTACTATGACAAAAAAAAAACATTGGGGAAAAAAAAAAGCCATTTGTAGTTGGGATCAGGAGCTATTAATTCATCACTGAGTTCCCAATCTGTATTTGCTTAAGGGTATTGTGGAGCTCATGAAATACATTTGAGAGAAAAGACTTCACAGAGTTACCCCCTGTGACTGAGAGCCTGTTTACCTGCCAGGGTTAGTAAAATCCTCCTCTTTGGCTGGGAGGGAACTCCAAAAGGAAAGCTTTAATGGGAAGAGGATTTTAAAACAAAATGGATTTAACTAGGCCCAGGAGAGTTTGAGTGGCGTGGGAGAGATGCAGGACACTGGGAAATCTTTTGAGGTTTCTCCCTGCTCCATAGCCCTACAAATTATTGTGGCCTCTTCAGAAGAGAGAGATTAGAGCAGCCAGAAGTTATGGCTAAAATCATCTAGATATTTTGAATCTACCTGTAAACTTCTATCTGGTAGTCAAAAATAAATACTCAGACTGAAATGTTTGGGGAGAGAGGGAAATAGAAAGGAAGGCCTCAGGGATCATTCATATATTTGTTGGATATTTACAAGAGTTTAGTGGTACAATGTCAGGTTGTTTAAGCTACAGATATAGGGGAACTTCCACTGGTTTAAAGGAGTCTGCACAGTAAGTCTCTCGAAGTCAAAATGCAAAGAAACTTCTTTTTTTGGAAAGGTGGGAATAATAAGTACAGGGGATTTGAGAAGTCATCTGTTTTCTTATGTGGACATGAGGCTACATTTAACAACCTTAGATTTAATCCAGCCTATTGGCTCCAGTCCATAAGGGAAGAACTAGGCCAGAGTTTCCTACCCTCATCAGTACCACACCTTCAGATTTACTGGGCTGCTCTTTCAGTACTTTTTACATTGTGACACACATTATTTTTCCCTCTCAAATCTCCAGTTATTCAATGTTTCCCACTTATGCTGGGTTTGAGCTTTAAATTCCTGATCACAAGGTGAGGGGCAGTGTGGGGTATGGGCATGCACAGGAGGCATTGAGACACCCAGCGACCCCTCCTCAGAGGCTCCCAAGGGTGACAGCTCAGGGATCCCTGTGAAAAGATAATTGGGTTAGACTTTGGGTGCCCATTTAATGGCTGTTTATGAAATTTTTCCTGAATTTGATAACTTAGCCCTGGCAGTAAACTTAAAAATGAAAAATAACTTATAATAAATATCCACAGCCCCTCAGACTTATTTACATGCCAAAGAATTTAAATGTACTGAGTTAAAACATATTAGGCTAAATACACATTGAGTTAATAAAGGAAAAAAAGGAGCAGGAATCCTGGACCCTCCTTATTTTATTAGTTAATTAGGAAAGTAATCAGGATACTGAGCCAGGGAAGCATTGTGATTTGTCCAAGGCCTAAAGCCCAGGTTCTGACACCAGGCTCCACTATCCTGGCTGGAAAATCTTTCTGCCTTCCAGATGAGGCAGGTCTTATGAGACTGCACTGGATAGAAGCCTACTTGAACATAATTTTAAAAAGTTGGGTGGTTAAGAAAAATGAAATAAGGCATGATAAGAAACTATATTTTAAAAAAACACATGTATCTTTGAAATCCCTATTGTTATTTTGCTTAAGAACATGTACTAGGGAGAAAAGATTTATATCATTTTCTATCACCTCATCTTTATTTATGCTACCTTTTGATATATTTATAAGCTATAGATTACTTATAAATGTCCTTACTTTGTGTAATTTGGCTTTTATATATTTTTTCTTGATGATAACATTTTTAAAGGGCATCCAAAGTTTAAAGTAATAGCTGTTTTCTTGGAGAGGAAAAATGTTTCATCTGTGATAAATGTAGTCTTTTCTCAGAACCTCCCATTTCTTAGCAGACAAGCTTTCTCTGTGGGTGGATCCTTTGTCATGCTGTTTAGCTGTGTTGAAATGCAAAGCTTTGTAGCAACTAATGGTAAAAGAGAAAGGCCATTTTAAAGTTGAAGAGATCCTGATACTTCCAGTAGTGTTTGTTTTCAAACTGATAAATTTTTATTAGTTACAATTCTTTCTGTTGCAAGTGGCAAAGATCCATCTTAATCTAGATGAAGCAATAATGGTAACTTATTAACTCCTAACTAAAGAGTTCAGGCATGGCTGTATCCAGCTCTTTTTCTTTCTCCAATCCTTAGTTGTCTGTGTGTTGGCATTATTCATAGATACACTCTTCATATGATAGGAAAGATGGCTGTTAGCAGCCTCAGGTTTATATCCTTATGGATTTTGATCCATAAGAAAGAAAAAATTCTCTCTCATCAAATGTCCATATATAAATCTCAGGAACAACTGTGTTTGACCCTGCCTGTGTTAGGCCCAGTGTTGAACCATGAGTGTGGCCAGCATGGGTATGTGATTATTTCATGTGGCAGAAAGCAGGCAGGGAAGGCCTAGCAATTGACAGCACTCGGTGCACTAAATGGCAGGGTATGTGTGTGTATGAGTGGGAGTTCTCCAAAAGAAAAGCAAAGTGCTGTTGGTAGAAGAAAGGTAAACATAAAGGCAAAAGCAACAAATGTCCACTCTAGGGCACCACACCCTCATGTATTATTATGATCTCTGTGGGTAAATAGCTAACAAAACCCCTTTTCCTGCTGCATGAGAATTTAAATGTTAGTTAACTTTCTGGCTCTGTGTCCTTGTAAACTAGATAAAGATAGAATATTAACTGTGTTACTAAGCAGCTTTGCTTATGATAAAATGACCCTGATTGGTAAATTGCATCTGGACTGGGAGGAACTGTAGATGAACTATAAAAATCAGAGGGGGAAGCCATACTTTCAGGTTCTCTTAGTCAGGTGGCAAAGAGGGCTACTGACAGCTTAGCTGATGACTCTATAATAAAAATAGAATGTGCCAGAAAAAAATCCCACGCTTGACTCTGATTGGCTTGGCTTGGCATATGACCATCCTTGAACCAAGCACTGTGGCCAAGGAGTAGGTGGGAGAAGAGGCAGGAGCCTATAATTAACAGCTGCATAGCATGGGCCAGGGGTCATTCTCCAGGGGAAAAGACTGTGGGCAGAAATCATGTAACAAGTGCTCTTTTCTCCAGTTCCATTAGCAGCCTTTAAAGGCCTTCTTCCACCATTTCTTGTCACGTGCCTCACCAGCCACAGCACACATTCATGCTGAGTTCTGTGTCCCCATGCATCACCAGCACTGTTACTACGTTACATTATAGTTACTTGCTTATGTGTCCATCTCTCCTTTTGGATTCTGAGCTTCTTGAGGACGGGGCTGGGTATTTTTCATCTTGGTCACTCTGCTGCCTAGCACAGTATCTGGCATATACATAGGTGCCCAATCATTGTTGAATAAAGGAATGATTTATAAAGATGCGTGACCAAATGTTTTCATTTAGTACATAATCAGTGTTTCTTTTCCCCCCTTTTGTGATTTGTTTCATCAACCTTTATCTGTTGTCACCATTTGCAGATATTTGTATGTAACTCAGACTCAATAATTTTTGGTCTGTCATTTGCAAAGTGTTGTTCATGGCTCAAGACTAGATTTTGCCCTTCAATGAATGCCTAACTGGTAAGCAGCAAACTGTGACTCCAAGCAGCCTCTGTTTCTTCCCCTTGCCCTTTCTTAGGGATGTCATGAGAATGATGGAGAGAGTCAGGCCTTCCAGTTTGAGGGACTGGGGATGTAGATCTCATTGATAACATCGCTGGCCCAAGAATAATGAACTAGGTCAACTTTTTGGTGTCAGTTTGTTTCTCCAGCTTCTGTAAGTGCGTGAACACATATCCCCTTGGGACTGATCTCTGCAGATGTTTTCTGTTTTGTTTTGTTTTTATCATTTATATCTCATTGATAACATCGCTGGCCCAAGAATAATGAACTAGGTCAACTTTTTGGTGTCAGTTTATTTCTCCAGCTTCCGTAAGTGCGTGAACACATATCCCCTTGGGACTGATCTCTGCAGATGTTTTCTGTTTTGTTTTGTTTTTATCATTTATCATTTCAGCATTTTCCCTTCCTTTTTCCTCCAGTGATTGTATACTCATGAGTCGTTACCTCAGGTTAGCAGTGGCTATGATCTTTTCATGACCCTGCATTAGCAGGAGATGAGATGACAAATCTCACATTCAGGACCCTTTTTATGAAGAGGCTTGTATCTTTTTTTCACATTATAGACACCTTGCTAAGCTTTCAGTTAAGAACCCATTAAGGCAATTTGTGAGGTTTTCTTCTCTTTAGTTAAAGAAAATACTTCTGCCACCATTTTGCTCCTTTTCCTCCTTAAAATAGCTTAAGTTAGATTAAGTTTTCCATGGGTCTTTCACTTTTCTTGATGACATGTTGGCTATCGCAAATGCAGTCTCCATTGGTAATATGAAAAGTTGGAGACATGACCATAATCAAAAAACTCTATATTTGTACCTCTCTTCCCAGCAAATCAAACCTAAACACTTCTCTTCAGCTATGTTCTTTGGATAGTGCCTTATTTCTCCATCTCATTTCAGATAGATCTATTCTCAAGGGTTTTTCTGTTGATTCTTAATGAACATTGGAGATAAATACATGAGTAAGCAAGGAAGGCCTACAAAGAAGCAGTTGGTAAAATGTCATGTCTGAATGAACCATATAAATATTAGACCCTGGAGAATTTCTGTTTCAAACATTTAATCAGTAAGACAAGGCTTAGTGAGACATGCAGGTGCTTGAGCCAGGGTCTGGCACATAGCAGCTGCTCAGTAAATAGTTGAGTGAAGGAACCATCAAATAAATACAGAAAGTTCATAAAATTGCTACATTTGAAAGGGAATCTTGTCATCTGGGTGTGAAGTAGCCTCTCCTCTGATGCTGAGAGGGTCTTTTCTGGGTAGTACTTCTCTGACCCTGTGAAACGGATTCCATGCTAATGTGGAGTTCCCCACAGTTCTGGGTGACAGCCCAGATCTGGATCTGGTTTGGGGTCCGAGAGATTGTCATCTTCCTCCCCTAAGAAGGGCCTGGAATGCTATAGCTGGAAGTACCACCTTGGCCTTGTCAGTTGTCTTGCTTGTTCACCAGGTGTGTAACAAATAAATGCTGGAGGTTTGTGATTGATTTTCAGAAAGGAAGAACACCGTTTCATTTGGCAGCTGAGAGGGGCCACGTTGAAATGATAGAAAAACTTATCTTTTTTAATCTTCACACTTCAGAAAAAGACAAGGTGAGTTGGACTTTTATTTTTTTGCTGAGAGCAAGAGAGAGGGAAGTAACAATTGATGTGGGGGAGTGACAAGTGGTGTGTAGATTTGGTGACGGCATTTTGATCAACGGTAGAATTGTTAAATTGTTACTATAGGCGGAGAGAATCATGGAATATCCAGGAGAAATCTACCCACTTTTGCTGTGGATTGTCCAGGTTGGCAGTTTTTACTCCGTAAATTTTTGTGAAGTTAGTAGACCACATGGATTTTTCCACTATCAATTCCAACCCTTTCCTCTCCTCCCCTGAGGTCTCCTGGAGACTCAGCCTCACATGGCTGGGGAAGGGAAAACCCCTGGGTAGACATCCATATCTATATGTCCATCTTTGATGATTTTCTTAGGAGAAATTCCCAGATGTGGAATTGAAAAGCATTTTACACATTTTTATTTTTATTTTTTATTTATTTACTTAGGTGGCTGTCCGGTACAGAGATCGAACCCCAGACCTTGGTGTCATCAGCACCGCATTCTAACCAACTGAACTAACTGTCCAGCCCTGTGCACATTTTAAAAATCTTTTAGTATATATTGCTAAAACTACCTCCTAGAAATCTTTCACCAATTTCTCCTCACATGGGTTAAATGGAATTACTTTTGTTGTCCTGCTTTTTGCTAGGAAATTGATAGCAAAGGAAGAAAAAGGAGCATGGATGATTTTCTTCTTCTGGTTCAAACAGTTATGTCTTTTTATTTAAAACTTAAAACTTTATAAATTTTACTTAAAACTGCAGATAACATGACCCACACTCTGGACCACAGCTTTAACCAAAATGAAAGCTTCCAGAAGCCCCATTGCAACCCTCATGGTTGGAGGGGAGTGTTCCTTGGCACAGTGTGTTTCTGTTGCAGGAGGGAAACACTGCCCTGCACCTTGCTGCAAAGCATGGTCACAGTCCCGCAGTGCAGTTGCTGCTAACTCAGTGTCAAGAAATAAATGAGACCAATGAGGTAAGTGGAAGTGCTTATTACTGATGCGGGACCTAATCAGGAAAGGGAGGAATGGCTTTCAAAAACGAATGGGAGGAAAGCAAAGACGTTACTGTCATAGGGTGTAAAATGCGATGCTAAAAGATTCCTACCTTTTTATTCAAAGTATCCCATAACACTTCATTTGTTAATCCATTCATCTATTCAGCCATTCGTTCAAAAGATGTTTTTATAATATATACCCTATGCTAGATGAAGTACGTATTCTTATTCTAGAAGCCTACAGGGCAAGAAGGGCATGCAAAAAAATAATGTATTAGACAATTTGCAATAATGGATTTATATACAGTATGCCATGGGAACACAGAGGAAACTCTATTTCAGAAATTAGTCTTCACGGAGGACTTGTGACCAGGGATGAGAGAGAGGGAGGACCTTCTGACTCTCTGGCTTGGGCTACTGGGAGGGTGGGGAGCCTGTCCCTGTGCTGTGGAGCACAGGGGAGGAGTCAGTGAGTGGGATAGGCAAGGAGGGTTTGGATGGTGTATTAGTCGTTTTCTATTGCTTATAACAGAACACCTGAAACTGGATAATTTATAAAGAAATGAAATTTATTTCTTACAGTTTTGGAGACTGGGAAGTCCATGGTCCAGGGGGCTCATGTGCTGAGGCCCTTCCTCTTGGTGGAGGCTCTGTACAGAGTCCTTTGGTGATGCAGGGTATCACATGGTGAGAATGGCGAGTCTTTCATGTGCTGTCCTTATAAAGTCACCACTCCACATCCATGATAACTCATAACTCCATGAATGAGAATATAGTCCTCACGATCCAATTAACTCTTAAAGGTCCCACCTTTCAAATACCATAATCGAATTTACTGCCCTCTTACCACTGTTACAATGGGGATTCAAGTTTCCAGCACATGAACTTTTGGGAGACACATTTGACCCATAGCAGATGTGTTCAGTTTGAGGCACCTGGGAAGTACATTCAGGTGGAGAGTGATAGGGAGATAGAAAGTAGGTCTAAGGGTTGGTGGAGGGGCTGTGGCTGCAGAGACCGATCTGTGAGTCACCTGCTCTGGATGGTCACTTCTTAACCTTTGGGCCAATGACTTTTTGGCTGGCTCTCTGGAAACATAGGTGAGTAGAGTCCCCTTGGACTTCATAGTTTAATGTTCTGATAATTTCTAAACTTGGTGCCTCTCCTAAGAGATACTGGAATAAGTAATATCATAAGCATTTAATTTAAGACACTATTGATTGTAAGGCACACCATTATTTTATGTAATACTAAGAAAAATAATGCTGCCAATTGAATTGACACAAAGAGCTTTCTAGTTACTTAGAATATTTATTTTATGCTTACTGAAAGGGGTTTTTAGACTTTTATTTTAGTTTTTTTAAATCTTACATATATAAAGGAAAAAATAAGTAAGATAAGTTGGTTAAGTATTTCTAAACTTCACACTGAGTTTGATTCTTCTAAACGACTTTCTTATTAAGAATCTTGATTTCTTTGCCTTCGAAAGTGCTTGCAATGCAGAATTTCTTAAAAGAATGCCCCATTATTGTTTCTAAGATTTTTCTTCTAAGCCACCGACACCCCTTCTGTTGTAATGTACATGCTCAATGATAACTATATTGTGTCTGATATCTGGTCAACTGAGATTGTGAGCTGCATCCTGATCTCAGATATGTTAACATGTGAAACAATATGTGTCTTAGAACTGATGGAGTACAGTCATAAAAATGGCCACTGTGGGCAACATAATGAACATTGGAGGCTGTCTTAGTCCGTTTCTGTGTTGCTATAACAGAAATACCTGAGACTGGGTAATTTATAAGGAAAAGAGGTTTATTTGGCTTACGATTCAGGAAGAGCTGCATCTGGCACAGGCCTCAGGCTGCTTCTACTCATGGCGGAAAGTGGCAGGCAGCTGGTGGGTACAAGCAGATCACATGGTGAAAGCAAGAGAGGGAGAGGGGAGGTGCCAGGTCTTTTATACAAGCTCGTATGGGAACTAATAGAGAGAGATCTCACCCAGGACCCCCTCCCCGCAGAGAGCATTAATCCATTATGAGGGATCTGCCCCCATGATTCAAACAGCTTCCAGCACTGCCACATTGGGGATCAGATTTCCACATGAGTTTTGGTGGGGACGACATATCCAAACTCTATCAGAGGCTATGAAAGTGAACATGTGTGATGCCCAGGATGAGTCAATATTCCCTGTGATCCAGAGAAGCCCACCAGCCTGATCCCACATGTCACTGGACCTGGGCATGCAGAGATTAAAAGCAGGGCCCCAACTGCGCGGGTCTGACCCTGGCTCTTCCACTTCCTAGGCGGATGATCTTGGGCATGTTACTTAGCCCCTCTCAGCCTCCATTTTCTCATCTGTAAAATAGCCTCATAAGATGATAGTGAAGTTTAAATGGAAAGGCTGTGCTGTGTTGTACACTTAGTACAGGGAATAGTGCCTGGCACGTGGTAAGTGTGCAATGAATTGGTGTCTGCTATTGTCACTGGTGTTATCCTGGGTGCAGTAAGTGGGATCATGGTCGTCATTGATATCAGTGGTATATATTGCTATCATCCTCATTTTTTCTCTTCCAGTTCCTGGGAGAATGTAAGTCAGGCTTTCATCTGAGGATAATGGACAAAAATAGAGCCTTCATTTGTTCATTTTTGTGTGTGTTCATTCTTTTCTGACCATCTGGCATAATGATGACTAGATTTAGTTGGTTTAAGTTACTTAAAGAATATCCCAGGGATTTTGTCTTGAATGAGAGCTGTGAATGATGCATTAAAAATGCAAAAGGAACATGAATCACCTAGGGTAAAAATCTTGGGTGTGATTGGCCTTCACAAATCAATATAGAGATTTTCTTAGTCCATTCCTGCTGCTATAACAAAATACCTTAGACTTGGTAATTTATAAATTATAGAAGTTTATGTGTCACAGTTCAGGGGCTGGAAAGTCCAAGATCAAGGTGCCAACCAAGAATCAGTGTCTTGTGAGGGCGCAGTCTCTGCTTCCAAGACGGCGCCTTGTTGCTGCATCCTTATATGGCAGAGAGCAAAGGGGCCAAACAGGTTCCCTCAAGCCCTTTTATTTACTTATTTTTATTTATTTATTTATTTATTTTTGGCAGCTGGCCAGTATGGGGATCTGAATCAAGCACTTTTATAAGGGCACTAATCCTGTTCACCTAATCATCTCTTCGTGGTCCCATCTCTTATTATTGCATTGGAGATTAAGTTTCAACATGAATTTTGGAGGGCCGCAAACATTCAAACTATAGCAGATATCAAGTCCTATAGTCATAGGGTTTACTTTAAAGTCTTGGTCATGTTTGCCCTGTTCTGTCATAATATGTTACCACTGGAATGTGCATATGTGGATTTCATGCATCTCTTAGCTATGTTGGAGTCAGGACACATTGGGGAGAACTCATTAAGCCCAACAAACTGTAGTTGCAGATTATGATAGGTTTCATTTACATAAAATAAAATGTGAAGTGTTAATATCATCCTTTTGGATAAGGCCCATAATGTTCACACTATCGCATGCTGCCTGTTTCCTGACATAAATGGTTGCCAGCTCAGTGAAAGCGACTCATATGAATATGCTGTAGGGCTGTGGTCTCGAAACATTCTTGGCAGCAAACTCATATCAGTAAAGAAAGTTTGAGCATGTGCCTGTCATAGATACATTTATAATAAAATTAATACGTTATAAAACATATGCCTGAAATAGAAATTTTAAAAATTTGAGATAAAAAATAAACACAAATAGCAGTTTTGTACTTTCTCTGCACTCAAATGATTATCTTATATGCATCTGATGTATTTGTCTTCCAGTTTCCTTTGTGTTCCTACACATATGTATTTTTAGTGGCTGCTCAAAATTTATGTAACTATTCTTTAGCTCTTGGACACTTCGTTTGTTTCAGGTTTTCTTATTATAGGTAATGCTGTCATAAACCTCTTTGTATATAAACTTCGTCTAGAATTTCTCACTCTTTCCTATCGGTATTACACTTAGAAGTAGATTGTTGGGCCAAAGATATGAATGTTTATTAGTCTCTTGATATATTAAAGACATGAATTCATTCCTTCACATTTCTTGCAAATATTTTTCCCACTGGGGTTTGCTTTTTGGAAACTTTTTTCCTGGGAAGATGAGAAGACAGATTATGAGGAGACATTCCTTTGTAAACAGATGGCTGTCCCAGGCAGTCAGGTAAAGCAGCCTGGGGTATGGTTTTCCAACCTCATTGGGATGGGAACATTGGTTCCATGTTAACATGATTGTTCATACCTAATTAGCTATGGGTAATACCTTCTGAACTTATCCTAAAGCAGTTGTTAGGCAGAATAAAGTCCAAGAGGGGAAATGGTTAGGGAATGGAAAGGAATTCTGCATTTCTTCCAAATATTTTTATGAAAGGGTCTGGATGAGGATGGGGAAATATTCAACTAGCTATTGTGAGAGGACTGTTCCTTCTTTTTCTTCTATGATTCGGCCTAAATTAAACTCTCACATTGTCTAACCTAATGTTTGTCATAAGTTTTAGGAAACCAAAGTCTGAGATTACTTGTTAAATTATTATTATTTAAAAAAAAATAACATGCAGCATTCAAAATCATTGTAAAGATTAAAGCTGTACTTGGTGCCAGTGTACTTCTAATTTTATATGTTTCATACTGCATTATAATTCCTTATTTCCAAGATTATCTTGCTTAATAGGCTGTTACCTTCTTGTGAGCAAGATCTGTGCCCTATTTATCTTTCCACTCCCAAACATACAGTCTAATAAATGTTTGCTAGACAAATTAATAAAGGTTAAGAACATGAAAGGCAGATGGAAAGTTGGAAAGTAGGCAGCATAACAGAGTAGTTAATAGTGCTGGCGTTGGAGCTAAACATCTGGACCTGTGTCCTTGCTTTGCTACTTTTCAGCTTTGTTTTAGTTTTCTTATTCATAAAACAGGGATAATACTAACCCCAGCCT